CCAGCATCTGCAGTTCCTACTATCACTGCTTCATATTTAACAGAACCTGCATGATTTACCATCGGCTTGAAAATCCCAGCCAAGATTTAAAACCAACACCTTGGCTTGAAGGTGGTAGAGGGATATTTTTCGTTCTGGAGGCCTGTGACCAGCGGTGTGCCAGAAGGAGTGATGTTGGGTCCACTGCTTTTTGTCATTTATATGAATGATTTGGATGTGAACATAGGAGATATGGTCAGTAAGTTTGCAGATGACACCAAAATTGGAGGTTGTAGTGGCCAGCAAAGAAGGTTACCTCAGAATACAATGGGACATTGATCAGATGGGCCAGTGAGCCAAGGAGGGGCAGATGGAGTTTAATTTAGATAAATGTGAGGTATTGTATTTTGGAAAGGCAAATCAGGGAAGACTTATACACCTAATGGTAAGGTCCTGCGGAGTGTTGCTGAGCAAATGGAGTGCGGGTTCATAGTTACTTGAAAGTGGAGTCGCAGGTAGACAGGGCAGTGAAGAAGGTGTTTGACAAACTTGCCTTTATTGGTCAGTGCATTGAATATAGGAGTAGGGAGGTCAAGTTGTGGCTGTACAGGACTTTGGTTAGGGCCACTTTGGGAATACTGTATTCAGTTCTGGTCTCCCTGCTATAGGAAAGATGTTGTTAAACTTGAAAGGGAACAGAAAAGATTTACCAGGATTGCCAGGGTTGGAGGGTTTGAGCTACAGGGAGAAGCTGGGGCTATTTTCCCTGGAGCGTTGGAGGTGGTGGGGCGACCTTATAGAGGTTTATAACATCATGAGGGGCATGGATAGGATGAATAGTCAAGGTCTTTTTCCCAGGATAGGGCATAGTTTTAAGGTGAAAGGGAGAAGATTTAAAAGGGACCTGAGGGGGAACTTTTTCACGCAGAGGGTGATGTATGTTTGGAATGAACTGCCAGTGGAAGTGGTGGAGGCTGGTACAGTTACAATATTTAAAAGGCATCTGGATGGGTACATGGATAGGAAGGGTTTAGAGGGATATGGGCCAAATGCTGGAAATTGGGACTGGATTAATTTAGGATATCAGGTGGGCATGGACAAGTTAGATCGAAGGGTCTGTTTCCATGCTGTACAGCTCTATGGCTATCTAGTTGACAAACAAACGTAAAATATGCCTGCAGGTAGGCACATTCTTTACTGATGAATTAAGACACGAGGAACTGAGCAGGAATGTGATTATTTTCTTGGATCATGCCTCTTTCTTTCTAAAAACCAGTTACCCCACCCAATCCCTAAACCAATCATCAGTCTCAGCAACCAGGGACAGCAAGCTTTCCAATGTTTTGAGAGGCATGTCCTGCCCAGTCATTCTCATCCCTACAGCCACCATCTCGAGACCAAAAAGAGGCAGATGGCAGTATGCCACTGGTACAGGGCAACACGCATTGAAGCAGGATCGCAAGGGAAGTCCCTTGGTAATGACTTAAGGAAGTAGCTTCTGAATATACTGAGTAACTGACAGACAGCGTTCACACAACGCTGAGGTGAGTAGGTTTGTGACTGTACAAGGACTGTACAAAGGACACGGAAGATTAAATGAAGATGAAGTTGTTTGCTGGCATTTTCGTCGCCTGTGCTCTGTTTGTAAGAGGTGAGAGGTTTCTTCATAAATGGGTCAATTATTAATCTCAGCTAATCATCTGATCTTGTGCTATCATGAACTTGTTTTTCTGGTTGTTTCTGTTGGGTTATGGTTTAACACTGTTTCCTAATCTTTCAGGCAGCACCTAACTCTCTAACTCAGCCAGACGGGGCATAGAATGCTCTCCACTGGCATTGCTCTGAACCACACACAAGGCAACAAAGTTATACATGTTGCTGTACCTGTGCATACCCCAGGGGCACTCCATTCCTCTATCGGCTG